AATTTATAGATGAGGAAACTGAAGCTCAAAGAGATTAAGTAGCTTGCGCAAGATCACATGCTATAAGAAGTGCAAACTGCAATCCAACTCAGAAACCATGTTCTTAGCCAAAACACGACACTACGTCTTCTCAATTAATGTTCTTACCTGAATCCTTGAGCCACACCTAAGCCAATGCTCTGAATTCCTTTAGACATTGCTTGTCCTGAACCTGAACACATAGAAACTACCCTACCGCTACTAATAGCAGCTGGAACTACCTTCAGCCAGCTGTGATTCTCTTTGATTCAAGAAAACATATCACCTTACACTTGTCAGGTGCTTTACAACACTTGAAACAACAGATGTGACCTCTGTGGGTAGCAGGAAGTAGGCCCTTATATCCACCTAGAGCTGCCAGGGGAAGGAACTGACTTCATCGCTCATCTGCACAGCAGCAGCAGCCTGATTTCTGTTACTCACTAGAAATGTTCTCATTAAAGAAAAATCCCATGTGTTTCTGCACTGTAAGTGTGCCAACAGACAGCTCAGCAGGAAATGTTTCCAAACAACAAAAGTGTTAATCAGAAAATGACAATCTAACAGAGGAACGGAAAATCCTTTACATGCAGCATGAAAGTGAGCAAATTTACAGATCTTGTTGCAACGTAAAAAGTAATTAATAATTTCTAACATTCCTGGGGGGAAAAGATTTTTTTTTAATTACATTTCTCAAGCAGAGAGGTCAACTAATAAGATTTTAGTTTTTGTTCTTGTTGTTACTAGAAAAGGATCCATCTTTTTGAAAAGTAAGAAAGTAATGATTTTTCAGGACCACACAAAAACATAAACCCAAAGGCAGAGAGAGGTGGTAAAGGCTCTTAAAAGGGCACCTAAGCTCCTCCCACCTCAGAGCAGGGAGAAGACTCAGCAGGCTGAGGCCAGGACTCCACCTCTGGCGGGAACCTTATTCAGCATAGTTGACCCTTCAACAACAGAGGGCAGGAAGGTGTTGGGGGCACAGATCCTCCCCACAGTCAAAAATCCATGTATAATTTAGTCGGCCCTCCATATATGTGGTTCCTCCGTATCCACAGTTCTGCATCTGCAGATTCAACCAACCACGGACCGTGTAGTATTTATTGAAAAAATATCTGCTATAAGTGGACCCACACAGCTCAAACCCCCATCATTCAAGGGCCAACTGTATTTAACAATCCTGAGAGTCAGACTTAACCTCAAGGCCTGTCTCTGCTGACTCCTGAATGAGTTCAGGTTACTAAACTCATTCTCCATCCTTGCATGATTTTTAACCAAAGTATAGAAAGTGTTCAGAACTATTCTAATTTTTGTTGATATATGAGTTTATGTCATTTTAATTAATGTTTATGTCAGTTTAATTAAAATCAATACCCTATTTTCAGTGGGTAAAGAGCTCAATACTAGAAATTAAAGTTAACACTGAAAGGCAAAATTATCATAAGCCCTTCTAGAGCACCCAAAATGTGTGCTCTTCATTATCTCATTAGTGAAAAGGAAAATTATCATTCATTCATGTTAACACACGCAGTATCCTAAATATAACTCATGCAGTATCCTAAATCTTTCCTCTCTTTCCAAAGATAAAGTATAATTAGATTCCAAGTGACAGATCACTTGTGCTTTTTAATTTCATATGTTCCTTTGGTGTTTCTCCTGTGAGTTCATCCTTTTCCCTAAGCAAGCATCCACACAGGAGTGAGGTCCAAAACATAGGCAGTGGACAAGAAAAGCAGAGGGCTGGGAAGTCAGAAGCCCTGAGCGCCAGATCCTGCTCCGTCCCCAAGCAAGGAGAACTTGAAGTCACCATTTAACCTCCCCACCTCCAAGTTTCCTCATCTGAAAACTGGGAACACTTGCTTCCTTCCTTCACAAGACTATTATGAGAATCAAATGAGGTCAGTGATCTGAAACACTCTCCAAGCTTCAAAATGCTAAAAAAACATTAGATACTGTTAGTGCAATTAATATATTCCTAGGTGAAATGGTACCAAGTATACATGGATCCTAGATTTACTATTTGTATGAATTAAGGCAGACAGGGAGCAGAAAGAGATATTTTTCATTTTAAATTAATTGAAAAACTTTAATTATGCCTCAAGGAACAGAGAGAAACAAACTAACCTGTCTACCTCCTACTAAAATTGATATTCACAATACCAGAAATTACTTAGTCTCTAAATTAGCAACCTATTCATTTTTTTTAACTTAAAAATGTTAAACTGGGGCTTCCCTGGTGGCCCAGTGGTTGAGACTCCGCCTGCCGATGCAGGGGACACGGGTTCATGCCCCTGTCCCGGAAGATCCCACATGCCGCGGAGTGGCTGGGCCCGTGAGCCATGGCCGCTGAGCCTGCGCGTCCAGAGCCTGTGCCCCGCAATGGGAGAGGCCACAACAGCGAGAGGCCCAGGTACCCAAAAAAAAAAGAAAAAAAAAAAAGTAAAAAAAAAAAATGTTAAACTGCATGAATTGTCCAAGATCCATCACTTACAATCTAGGATTTGTAAATGGGGACAATACTAGAACCTACATGGTGGGACTGATATGAGAATTGAGTCAATACTTGCAAAGCACTAGGCCCATGCTGGTCCAGGGTACTGGCTATGGAAATGTTTGCTCTGTTGTGCAGCAGTGGAGAACCAGTCAAATCTGGGATCAAACCACTGCTCCAATCTCTACTAGATATGTGGATTTCAGACACAGGTTTGCTTATCTGTACAAGGAGGAAAATAATAATACTGGTACGTACACCTCATAGGGTTGTTATAATGATTAAAAAATATATTTGAAGAGTGAAAAGATATCTGCTACATCAAAAGGGTTCAATAAGTGGTGGCATTGGTGGTTTGGCTTAGAGATTATGTTTAGTAGCAATAATACTGGTAAATTATGGAACAGCCCCTTAAATTCTTTAATTTTCAGTGGTTCATTTAGGTCAAATACAGTTTGGAAGAGATAGCTGCACCAATCTTGGCAGTAGCAAAAATGTATGTAATTTTAAAGTGGTAAATATAGGATCAAGTTCTATCCACAATCCCAGGTTTAATTCTGTTTCAGACTTACCACTGCCAAAATATTTTAAGAAGCCAGAACTATGATTACCCATGAGAAGCATATGGTTAATTCCTTTATATTCAACTTTCTATAACCTCAGCTCTCCTACAAAGCTTCCACTGTAGGAAGCTAGCATGCAATGTTATTCCACTAAAACAAAGCCATGCATTTCTAAACAATTTTTATGACTTCACAGTCTTTGTCAACACCATTTTGTGCAAATTCGAACAAAAAAAAAAATGAAGAGCTTTTTGAAAAGCTTTAAAAAGTCAAGACTTTTCTTTCACTTTTTTTCATTTCCCCACAAGAGAGGGAGGAAATAAAGGAAAATCAAAGAAGATTTTTTTAAAAAACTAGGAGGAAAGGTCAAAGAACAGCAAAAGATATCTTTATAAGCTGTTAAGACATTTTTCTGGGCCAACAGCTTAGAGGACTGTCCACTCCACCTGGGATTCTCTCTGATTGCTCTTTGTCTTCATGGCTTCACTTCATGGCCATAGACAAATGTGCCACCACTTCTTTACAAGGAGGCTTGTAACTATCACTATATGTTATCCTCCATCACTTTTTTGGACCTCAAGACAACTAAATCACAGCTGGCCAGAGAAAGAGGAATCCTAAAAACCGTATCCTTATACCCATTTCCTTTTGTACAGACTTCTAAGCAGGCAGGTGGTCTGATGATGGAGAAGACTGCTGAAGTCCAGATCACGAAGTGACCAAGAGGGAACCCACGCCTTCCTTCTCCCTGGGCAGGTTGGCTTCCCCATACTTGCTGCATGTCAGCATCAAATTTTTTACATTTCTGTTTCAAGTTTGTGCTATTTATTCCCATTGCCAAGCAAACTAATCCACTGCTTGCTTTTTATTTTATAATAAAAATATTACACTTAGAGGGGTGGGATAGGGTGTGTGGGAGGGAGGCTCAAGAGGGAGGGGATATGGGGATATACATATGCATATGGCTGATTTACTTTGTTATATAACAGAAACTAACACAGCATTGTGAAGCAATTATACTCCAAAAAAGATGTATAATAAAAAATATTACATCTTAAAAATCAAATGAAGTGTCACTCTCAAACAGCCTTTTGATGAGATACTAGCACCTGAATTATCAGCGTAAGAGCAAACTTCTCAAGATCTTTTAGGTTTTTCCCTGCTTATTTTCATAATGCAATTATGACATCAGGGGTTACCTAACTGCCTGACTCTTTTATGGCTTCTCAGACACAAGAAGTTTAACTTTACGCCCAACCACTTCAAAATAAATGAATGTAACTTTTAAAAGCTTGATTTCTATCCTTTTCCTTTTGATTCTTTTGAAAGGAAGTCACCTATTATACACAAGTGCTTGGTGTACATATAAGTAATAAGAGCAAACATTAAAACCAATTTACATGTGACAAATATCATTGAAATCCAATAATCTAACATGTATCTGCTGAAATCCAAGCAATAGGCGTTATTCAACAATCTCAAACATTTCAGCGATTTCATGTGTTCTGCAAGTCACCTACCCAAATGCCAAAACAGGCAACAGAACATTCTCAACTTCCAAAAATTAGTGGCCTTTCAGGTTTGGAGAAGACTGGAGGGAAAGAATACTGGTCCTCAGTCATGACAGCCCAACGAACTATCTAAGAGATGGGAAATAGTAGTCCTGCCCTCCGAGATAACCAACAGGAAAAGTTACCTCTGGATAAAAAAATTCCCCTTATACTGCTTTAATAAAAAATAATAATAATTCTAATCTCATTTGGACAGTCGTTGCTATTATTTTTTTGGCTAAGCCACCTACATGTAAAATTTAACTATATAATGCAGATACCACTTCAGTCACATGTCCTACTTCAAGATAAGAAACAACAGTCATTTGATAAAATGTTCTTGAATTTAAAAATACATAAAAAATAAAATGTAATTACCTTTCCAAAGTCACGGACATCAAACAAGTCAAACGCCTCAAAGAGTTCACTCTTTCTCATTCCAAACGTCTCGCAACAGGCCGTGAGGAATGTCCTTATGTTCTTCAAACAGAGAAACTGAGGAATGGGAAACAGCTATTAGTATATAGCAAATCATTCTGAATGCTACCTATCCTCTGTCACGCCCAGAATGCTGGGGAAATGCCAACGAAGAATCCATCCACTTTTCAGGTTGTTTCCAATTACTCCTCATCAGTACTTAAATGAATACCCACTCTCTCCCAGGCACTGGTGACACAGCTGTGAACAAGGCAGACGGAAGTCTGCCCTCAGGATACTTACATCCTAATAAGAGGAGACAGACAAGAACAAACTCAGCAACAAAAACAAAGAAAAGTAAATATTTTTATTTTCATATGGTGATAAGTGCAATAGAGAAAAATAAAGCCAGGAGGAGGGATCAGGAGTGCTGGGTGAGGTGTGGGGAGCTTCAGCGAGATGGTTAGAGAAGGTGTCAGTGAGAAGAGGACAGATAAGCAGCAGAGGTTTGAAGGTGGTAAAGAAGCAACCATGCAGAATTACAGGACAGAGTATTCAGACTAAAGTAGCAACCCATGCAAAGGCCCTGAGGCAGAAGCTTCTGAGGTTATGTCTGAGGAAGGGGCCAATGTGGGTAGAGCAGAGTGGATGACAAGGAGCAAGGCAGGAAGTGAGCTGGAAAGGCAATGAGGTCAGATGATGAAGGACCCTGTTGGACAGGCTTTTACTCTAAATGAGATGGGAAGTCATTGGAAGCCTTGGGACAGAGTCTGATATTTTTAAAGTTTTGTTTTTCTTTCTTTAAAAAAAATTTTATTGAGGTATAGTTGATTTAAAACTATACCTCAATAAAGTTTCAGGTGTACAACATAGTGATTCAAAATTTTTATAGATTATACTCCATTTAAAGTTTAAAAAATACTGGTTGTATTCTGTGTGCTGTACAAGATATCTTTGCAGCTTATTTTTTTCTAATAATACTTAACTCTATATTAAAAATACTACTATTTCAACAAATGATCAACATAAAACATTTAAATGAAATTAGTTTTAGTACTAAATCTTTGAAATCTAGTATACATTTTACACTTAACAGCATATCTCAATTCAGACTAGCCCCATTTCAAGTGCTCCATAGCCATACGTGGCTAGTTGCTGTCATACTGGACAGCACAGTCCTAGAGTTTCAAATGCAGGTTTGTAAACAGGTCCCTCTCACGTATACAAAATATGCACAGACATAGCAAGTACAAACTTCTCAGCTGAGCTTTTAAGGCCCTCTATAACGTGCCCCACCATTTCAGTCAGGCTGTTCTCCTTGTTGGTGCTCATTACTCCGTGTTCATTCCTGCCTCTATGCTTGAACTTTGCCGTTCCTCTTGCCAATAACCTCCTCTCTTTTCCCTTTCCCAGCTACAGTTCCATCTCCTTCTGGACTGCAACAGTTCCTACTGCTCTTTCTTCAGAGCTTCTTTTTTGTTGTTGTTGTTTTGTTTTGTTTTTTGAATATAGATCAAAAGGGGCTGGAGCAAGACTAGAGACAGTAATACCAGACAGGAAGCTATTACAATAATCTGGGTGAGAGACAGCCATGGGAAGTCCAGGTGTTCAATTTTGACTCTTAAATTTGAGATGCCTATTAGTCATCCAATGGGACACAGGGCAGCAGAAAGCTGGATATACAAGTCTGGAGTCCAGGACACAGGTGTGTACTCCAGACTTAAATCTGAGAGTCTTCAGAGTATACAAAACATTTTTAACCATGATGTTATCTGAGATGACTTTGGGAGAAAGAAGAGGGGAGGAGGGGACCTGGTGCCAGGTCATCTTAGATCAGGAAAAATGGACGAGCCCACAAAGGGGCAGAGAAAGAGAAACCAGTAAGGAAGGAGAACAACCAGGTGAACATGTTTTTCCTGAAGCCAAGTAATGAAGGTGTTTCTAGGAAGAAGGGGTGATAAGCTGTGTCAGCTGCTGCTGCTACTCAAATAAGATTTTGACCTGGGAATCTGGCTGTGTGAAGGTTATGGGTGCACCTTGACAAAAGCAGGTTCCATGTGGAGGATGGGGGTGGGGAAAGGCTGAGCAGAGCAGCTTCAAGAGACAATGGGAAGAGAGAAAGTAAAGATAGAATATAGATTCTTAGGAGTTTTGCTGCAAAAGGGAACAGAGGATTGAGGAGGTAGTCAGAGAGAAAGAGGTCAAGGAAGGGCTTTTTAACAATGGAAGCTGTTACAACATGTTTCTATTTTGACAGGAATAACTTGATAGAGGGGAAAGACGGTCACGCAAGAGAGAGGGACAGTTGCCCAAAGGAAGTCCTTGAGTGGGCAAAGGAGAAGGGTCTGATGCTCAAGCAGAGAAACTGACCTTGGAGACCATGCTCAGCTCATCGATACTAACAGGGACAAGGGAGAAGGCAGACGCTATCGCAACTTAGACAACCAACAGAATTTACTTTCAGTATCTAAAATGCAGATCCACCTATGCATAGTACCCACATATCCTGAAAGTGAATTTCGGAAATAGTAGTTGCAATGGCACACGTAAAAATAAAATTATTAACCTCCAATAAGTGAGAGATCTATTAGCTAATTATTGCATCTTTGCCTTTTTTTTTTTTTAAAGCACTGTCAATATTTTATTTTGTTGTTGTGTTTTCCATCTTGGTTTGTTTTTTAATTTGCAGAAAGCACATTTTACTTCCCCTACTTTGGAAAAATTCAGATTTTTCATGGGCTTAACACAGACATAGTTTTACCCTTTACAGGAATCCTTCTTGAGGCTTACGTATTTCAGGAGGGGTTAAAACCACAGGGGAAGCATCATAAACCCTTTGAATACAAAGGCAGCAGCCAAACTGCACATACAGTTACTGCTTTCATTTTAAAAAATTCATAAGAGAACTTTACAACACGGAACCACTCTACATGTAGCTCTTTCACATAGAATTGCTTATTTACAGATTAAAAGCCTTGCATTCTGCCAAGACAGACAATAATTACTCTCCTGGGGATTATGCAACATCTCTCTTGCAATATTTTTTACATAATTAAGTGCCCAACTCATAGCTCACCAAGGAACAAAGCATAATTGCACATGCTACCCTCTGAAGATTTCACACCAAACTCAAATTTTCCCCTGCATAGGAAAAACTACAGTAGACCTCCATTCAAGTGTTTTGATCATTAATTCAAAAAAGTATCATTACTGAAAGTAAAAGAAAGAAATGTTGTCATTACGGTATGCATACAAGAGATGATTTAAAAACAGAACTTTCCCTCACTTTTGGAACCAATCTTAACCTTATTTGCCCCTTAACTAATTCAATTCTATTTAATTCCACAAATATTTACTGGATTTGAAGAACGTCACTGGTATGCTCTCGCATTTCCAGGCAATCATCAAGTTTGGTCACCCCTTTATTTATGTACTTTTTCAGTCAACAGGTTTTGAATGCCTACAATGTTCCAGACACTGGAAATGCTAAAAATGAGTAAGACAAGCTTCTCTATTAATCACAGTTGGAAATTTTCATAGCTTTCCCAAAATTGGCTAATAACACTAGGATCACACTTCCCTTAATGGCTCTGTGCAAGTACAGGAACAGAGTTGAGGGATGGAGGGAGTGGGCCCTAATGCCATCACAAAAGACCTGGACAGAGCTGGACCTGTCAACCTGCCTGCCCACCTACCATCAGACTTTTGCTTTGTTTTCCTTACGTTGAACCTTCTCCTTTTCCAGTTTATTTTCTAAAATTTCAAACCAAAAGAAAAGTAGAAAGAATAGTACAATGAACACTCCATTTACACAACAACTGTAACATACTGCCATATGGGTTTTTGCGTGCCAACCATATCTCTATTTATAAAAATTCATATGTGAAAGTAAGTTCAGACACCATGGCACTTCACTCCTAAATAATTCAACATGCATCTCCTAGGAATGAGGATATTTTCCTAAATACCTACAACACCATTACCACCCCAAGAAGATAAACAACAATTCCATATTATTTCATATCCATTCCACGTCCAAATTTCATCAGTTGCCTACCCTGTGTCTTTTTTACACTATCCCACCCATCCACACCCAATCTAGGGATCAATTCAGTTTTACCCATTATATTTGGTTGCTTAATTTTATAGTACCTTTTAATCTAAAAATCCTACTGCCTTTTTTTTTTTTCTTTTAATGACACTGCCTTTTGGAAGAGTCCAGACCTAGGTATCTTATAGAATGTCCCGCATTCGGCATTTGTCAGATTATTTCCTCATGGTATCATTAAACTTATTTCCCCATCACTTATATTTCCTATGAACCAAAGCTAAGTCAAGATACAAGTTAAACAATTTTGGAAAAAATATTTTATACTGTGAACTTCACAGCCCATCATATCAGAAGATACAAAATGTTAGGGTAACCCATTATTATTGATGCTAGGCTTGATTACTTGGTTAAGATGGTTATTGTCACATCTCTCTATTGTAAAGGTACATGTTCCCCTTTACGTTAATAAAGCCTGGGGGTGATAATTTGTTACCATGTGGCTGTCCTATTTCCCAATAATTTTTCACCATAGACTTAGCATCCACTGATAACCCTTGCTTTGATTATTCCATTTGGGACTGCAAAATTCTATCATTCCTTCCACATTTATTAGCTGGTATTCTCACCTAAAGACAAGCTTCCCCTGCCCTCCACCCTCCTTTTTTAATATTTGTTTGTGTAATAATTAATTGCCATCATTATTCTTTTTGATGTTCATATTGTCCCAAATTTGGCCACTGGGGTTCTCTTCTGTGACCTTTTGATGACTCCATTAGTCTTTGTTTTCTTACATCAAGCTGTCCCAGGCCCACGCCATATTTTCTCTGCCCAAGTTCTGCAATCAGCCGTTTCTCCAAACAGTTCCATTTCAATTTATATGGTAAATGGTAGTATTTAGAAAACAAAGGCTGAGCATCAGACTACTCGCAAATTAGATGAGCCAATTATATCAAATGAACCAGTAACTCCACCCTTTTCTTAAGCAATCTATCACTTGGAACAGAAAGAGTTAATGTAAACAAGAATG